AAAGGCATAATTTCAGTTAGGGGGAAAAAAGCTTTTGGCTTCTCTCCTGGGGCCACAAGAGGGCGCATCGAGCAAAATATTATGCACATTTCTTCAAAGCGTAATAAAATAACATGACTATCTTTGGAAAAAAAGTATATGATGTTTAAAATAATGCTTATAAACCATATATAATTAATAAAGTTGCTTAAACAATTAGAAAAAAAACCAGCACCATGCATGTATGTATAGTTTAATACAAAGGACCGAAAACCAATCACAAAGAGTAGGCTACTTTCTTAACATGAGATACAGTGGGATGGGGAAAAACTGCCATTACGTCTTTAGACATGTTTTTTAAATGTTGAACTTGCATTAATTTTACATGGATTTCTAAAGATGCCGCTCTCTGCAACTGCATAGGCTAACAAAAGTATTCAAATGCAATCAATGACACATACATCGTCATCGCATCTCGTGCGCCACTGATAATGCTGCCTGACGGCTGACGCAGACCTTAAATTCGAATGCAACGTTTTTGCATATATTAGGGCTTCCGCGTCCATAAATAGTCTTAAATTGTTCAAGAAAGTCTTAATTATGATTTCAGGATGTATTACATTTGGGGACGGATTGTGATAAGGCTTAATGTGAAGTTTAAACTCCAAAAGGCTGTGATTTCAATATAAGCACTGCGCGTTTCAGAGTCCGGTGCTGCGCTGCTTTGTGTTCTTCTGTTACCGGGGAAACCGTTCTATTTCTGCAGTTCCGAAAGCGCCTCCTGCTGGCAGAGAATGAATAAACCTGTTTTATTGGAGTAGGGTATTCCTGCAATACCGGAGGCTACAGTTTCAGGACCGCATTTCTAGGACCCTAGTTTTTTATTTTTTATTTTATTATCTTTATTTTTTTCTTTGTATGTACGTAGTACAAATTAGTGTGTTTATTAGTATAATAAAACATTTTAAATAGGCTAATTCGAATACAAATACTAGTTTACAACATCCAGCAGCACAGTGAACTGTTTTGCACAGCTAAATAGGCTAAATGGAGATTGCTGACATCGCCTCACACACTCAAGTTCACACCAGCTCTTACATTAAAAATAAGATGGTTAGAGAATAAGAAAAATTTATATTTTCCATTGATCTAGTCTTTGCATCTGTTTGTTTGATGTTTGAATCAGGTCTTCTCTGATGGAATAGAACTGGCTAGATGGCGCTGTCACAAAAAATAGGGTCCTAGTAGAAATGCGGTCCTGAAACTGCAGCCTATGGTGTTGCAGGCACACAGTATTGGGGTTGTTTTTGTTCAGATCAGTGTGAAAATCGACCCATGTTTTTACCCTGCAAACATGCAGAGCTGTAAATATGAACTGGTGGATTGATAAGAAGATAATTCATTATAAAAATCAAAACAGTAATGTTCATTAAATGTTATTTAATTAATATAATTATTTATTAATAATAATTATTTTAAATTAATATAATAATTAATACTTTTGACTTTTTGTTTTTGTGAAAACTTGTATCTGAACTGTAAATCACGCTTTTTACAGTAATTTTACAGTTTAATATGTTACTTTAGACATTGCCCTACCCTGCTCGTATGGTATTAATTTTATTAGTGCAGGTTCTAAAAAAGGTCTTAGAAAGTCTTAAATTTGAGCTTAAAAATCCTGCAGAAACCCTGATATTTGAGTTGATATTAAGAATAATATTTATCACAATAATGTCAAAAACAACGACAGTAACAAGCATGATTTTGTTTTTAAATAAATCACACACATAAATAATAATTATAATAAATAATATGAAATCTCACTAATTATAACAAAAATGTATGTAGTGTATTATCATACTGTTAATAATAATAATAATATATATATATATATACACACATATATATATATATATGTATGTATGTATGTATAATTCCATTATACATTATATTGTCTACATAACAGTGTCATTGTAGCATTTACCACATTTCATCTTATTTAAATAAATTCCACATAATTACATAGATTTCTCCCTTGTATAAAGGGCTTGTATAAAACGTGGGCTTTGCATTTTGCCTTTCTGAACAATTCTGATCCAGGTTGAATTGATGAAAAGACCCATATAATTTAATTGCGTTTGGAGAGGAGTGGAGCGTTTCTCCCGCCAAATCCGCACTGCCGAGAGACCAGCTCGTCCTCCGGGTGTCTGCCGCTGCATCACTGCTTACCTGTTTTATCATAATTGTTTTGGCATCGTTCATAAACGGGGATTAATGTACGCACAGTTCACTGAGCCACTGCTCTGCAAAAAACCTATTTATCACCGTCTTTTCTTTTTCGCGGAAAGCACGGGGAAGCTCAGATTGTGAAAGTGCCTTTGTGTTAATTTGACTGGCCTCAATAAATCATCAATTCTGAATTGGAAGGCTTCAGAGGAAACAGAGGAGTCAAGTCACTTTTTTAATGGCTTCAAAACAAAAATGAAGGCAAATGAACGCAGCCTGACGTTCATCTCCATATCTGTTTTCATGTTTACAGTGGAGCCCAGCTATTGCGCTTTTAATTAGACCACATGGGCACACACTCATGCATTAGATTTTTTTAATTGTTATTATTTTATTATCTTATTTTAATGTAATGATCTCCTGCAACTTGTACCAGGGGAACTGAAAACCCCTTAACAAACAATTGCAGCCTGGTGAGATGCTTCCCGTGTGGCCAGTTTTAACTTTTCATGTCATCAGCGGCTGGAATGAACTCATTTTTTTTATTTTTCTAGCAAACGCCAACACAGTTTATGAGTCTAATCTAATCTGCCAACAGACTCTTCTGTGTGATAGATCTCCTGACTCTGTCTCTCTCTGTGAAATTATGCAATGATTAATCTTTAGAGGATATCAGGGTGACGGGACAAAATTGTGCTGTTGAAAACAGTTATTCCAAAGCGTCTTTGAAGTGTGGATTCTTACCTTAATTATGTTTGCTGGGGTTTCATCTGTTGTTGATTGAAAATCACTGGCATTTTCTGGGTTATGGAAACTTTGAACTCTTGTTGGCGCATGAATAAACTTACGATGGTGTGATTCAGTTTTTGCTTCACTGTTTCAAAAAATGTAATAATCTGAAACCAATATACGCAGCTTTTAAATACTGCAATTTTGAATACATCTTATTTTCTTTAAATTACATCCAAAAATTACCATTTTGAAAATCTGTGTCAAAATTTATTGCAAAATCAATTTTTTTAGGATTTAGCTGTAAAGTACATAAGAAATATTACAAATTTTGGTTTATTACGTTTTTTTTTTGTTGAATTTTATGTGTTACTTTGAGGGTTGGATATAATATTGATATATAGCAGGGTCCACAAATTTAATGCTGATAATATAAAATATTATGTAAATATACAGTATATGGTCTGCTGTATTTAGTTGAAAAGAACTACAGTTAAAAACAGTACTATTGTGAAATAGTATCTTAATTTAAAATAACTGTTTTCTGTTTTAATATATTTTAAAATGTAATTTATTCCTTTTGATCAAAGCTGCATTTTCATGATCATCACTCCAGTGTAGTGTCACATGATCCATCAGAAATCATTCTAATATGCTGATTTGTTGCTCAAGAAACAGTTTTGATTATTATCAATATTGAAAACAGTTGTGCTGCTTGGTAATTTAGTGGAATCCAGCATTCTTTTTGAATAGAAAGTTCAAAAGAGTAGCATCAATTTGAAATAGAAATATTTTGTAACATTATAAATGTCTTTTGCTGTCATTTTGATTATTTAACGTGTTCTTGCTGAAATGTTATGTGTGGTACAGATGATTTGTGTTCAGCTAGCTCTTTTATAGAGGACAGCAGACGCCAGAAGCTCAGTTGGACCTAGTTGTTGTTAATTAATCTCAGGTGAACTGCAGAAACACTCTTATATTCCTGAGAGTGTGCAGACACTGCGTCAGCTCAATAAAAGCAAACAAACTTTCTTCTTCCAGTGTGTTTCGGTCAGTGTGAAAGATGGGCTTCAGACACGCAGATGCTTGCAGTGATTTGGTGCTGGTATGTTCTACACTGACAGTAATGGACAAATAAAAATGTCCAACATTGTAAGCGGGAGGTGAAGAGCTCTTTAGTGCCTCTGAGTGCTTGAGTTGTAAAAGATTATCTGCTGGTTTTATCTCCAATCCAATTCCACTCAGTAGGGGAGAAAATTGAAGTGAAAAGAAGTTCAGATTTTCAGGTTTTAGATGGGTAGTTGAGTAGTGTGTGTATGCATTATTTGAATTTGGGGTTGGTAAGATTTTTTTTTATGTTTTTGGAAGCCTCTTATGCTCACCAAGGCGCAATTTATTTGATTAAAACAAATGTATATTATTTATACAATTGAATTTAAAATAAATGACTGTCATACATTTTACCATGATTTACAGAAGACATTCACTAAAATGTCATTCAGTGTAACAATAGTTTAAATACCAAAAAGTCTTGTCAGGCAGATTTTAAATCTTTGCCACTATCTTTCAAAGATCGTTCAAAGTGTTACTCATTTGTCAGCAGGAAGTTTTAAATAATTTTAAATATAATAAAAATGTTTGAATGATTTCTTATTCTTTTATATATTTTAATAAGTAACGGTCAGAATGGGTATGTTGTTTAATTTCTACATAAATATATACGTTATGCTGAATGACGATGGAACGTTATTCCACCCATATTTTCATATTTTATTTTCACAAACTTTATTTGAAACATTGAAGCTGGCACTTACATTGAATATATTTCTGTGTAAATAAAATCACTTTTGTAATCTTTTTGCAGACCCCAAAATGGGACATCTTGTCTTTGACCCACATATATACTGTATATAGTTATAGTTTTGCTATTTTGTCAAAAATGCGGAAAAGCTTCATGTTAAAATGGACTGTTTTCACTCCAGGATTTCAGTATTCACAAACCTTTATTAAACTGCTACAGTTTTCATAGAAAACTGATGTTTTAATCCATCTTGTCTCTCTGACAGGTCCTGTTACCAATGCCGCTATCATCCCAGCACCTGCCAACATGTTCCTTGCTGACAGTCATCCAGCCGTCCCACTGCCACGGTTCAGTCGCCACCTGAACCCCTCCGAGCAGGGTGACGGCACGAGCTCTGGAGGCATGTGTCTGAGACTGGGAGCCAACACGCAGGTAACATCTGAAACATTGCTTACGTTTTAAATCATGGAAAATAGGATAAGGTCCACTGAGACTATTTCTGAGATGTCAGAATTGCTCATTTAGAGCAGCGACTTGGCCTACCCTGAGAAATGCAAAAGGTCACATGCAAAAGTTTCGTCAAGACCAGATGTCATTTATGGCGCTTTTCGACTGCATGGTACGGCACGGTACGGCTCGGTACGGTTCACTTTTGGGGGGTTTTCCACTGGGTACAGTACCTGGTACCTGGTACTTTTTTTAGTACCACTTCGGTTGGGGTTCCAAGTGAACCGTACCGTTTCCAAAACGTGACGTGTAAACTCTGCTGATCTGCATCACTGAACTTGCGACACAAAAGAACCGCAAGATTTAAATCAGCACAGCCAGCGAAGGATCGAACACAACTGTTTTGAACGAGCGCACCTTTTTTTTTAACAACCAAAACGTTTTGTTGTCTGTTACAGAAGTACAGACGTTCCTCTCGTTGATAGCAGAGGAGCGGATCCAGCGAGAGCTTGATGGGGCGACGCGGAATGAAAAAGTTTTTTTTAGGAGTCGTGGCAGTAGAGGCGGCGCAACCATAATGACATGCGAATAATCCCGCCCACTCTAAAGCGGTACTGAACTGCTGTGGAAACGAAAACCGTGCCGAGCCGAACCGTGTCGTGCCGTGCCGAGCCGAGTCGTAAAGCGCCATTGCATATAGATGTCTTAAAAGATGTGGAAGCAAAAAACATTCTTATTTAAAGGGATAGTTCACCCAAAAAGGAAAATTACCCCATGATTTACTCACCCTCAAGCCATCCTTGGTAGGAAAATAGAAAATATACTTTATAGTAATTGTACTGTAATAAATGATGTCAATTAGCACTGCATGCATCGAGAAAACGATTGAGTCATTACACCCCTAGGTAATTATAATTTTTGGACTATCCCTTTAACAAAGCTATGCTTCTATAAATCTGACATAGTGAAGAATTTGCTATATACTGGGGCTGGGCAATATAGCCAAAATATTTTATGTGTTATATATCTCAATGTTTTTCAGTCATTTGATGATTTTTTCTTTTTTATGTGTATAATGATATTTTCTTATTTTTAAATGGATTGTTCTTTCTCTAAATGTATTCTTTAAATGCTTGTAAATGCATTAAAAATATTGTAAAAATCTACACTACAATATAACAGTAGCACTCATTTGGCACAATTTGCTCATTGCAACTCTCCGATTGGTGGAATTTTCTGTAGAGCATCATAATGTAGATTTTTACCAGATATTCCGCTGTTAAACACAATTATTTAAAACATAAGTTGAAATAATGCGAACTGATAGCTTCAACAAGCATATACCATTAATTAACAACCTCAGAACTCAGAACAGTTATTGTTAAATCAAATAAAAACTGAACAATTATTGTTAAAATCAATTTCCCTAAAGAGAAAATGAATGCCATTTTACTTCCGTAACCCGACTGTTGCGGTCTATTAACATCTATCTTAAAGTCGATATAAAATGAAAGTCTATTTTCTACTTTATTAAATGACTTACTGTGAATGTTTAATCATTTTTTTTTATCTTGTCATTTTTAATAAGTATGTCATAACTCATTGTAACCCAAATGTTGCTAAATTTCTATTTCAAGCTTTTATTGTCATTGCATCGGAATGCAATGAAATTTCAGAGACTCACACGGATACATCCAATAAATGTATAAAATAAATACAAAAATTAAAATTGGCAGCAAAATCATTGCAAATCTATCATGAATATATTCAGTATAATCCAGCAGTCCTCAATTTTTCTATAATTTAGGTGTTTCACTGACACTTGCATAAGGTGAAACAGCTGCATGTGGGTGATACGATTGGGTCAAAGGCGTTTAATGCAAGTTGCACATATGGATCTGCCTCCTCACTACCAGCGGAGTTCAAACATGATGAATGTTTACAGCTGTTAGTGGCCTGACCGTAATTCCTTCCACGTCAAAATCAATTATAGACCAATAAATGAAATGCTTATGAAGTCTTACATTTGCCCACCACCTGCTCGGTGGGTCCAACCTTTTTTTTTATATATATATATATCTCCTTCTTGCATATCTGCTGTTTTCCTCCCCCTCCCCCTCAGCTTATTTACAGAGCAGCTAATCTTCCAGCCTCTGGGAGAGCACATCCTATCTGGAAAACATGCTTCTTTCACCTCTGCACAGCGAGAGGGAACCTAAAACAAACGTTTTGATAAGTGCATTAACACTTCTACCAGGAGGCAAAATAACACGTTCCAAACTGTGACCCAGAGGCTGCAACCAACAGCACACATTTGGCATGATTGGCATTCCACGCGGTGTGTAAATTAAAGCTCCTCTGAGAAAATTAATTTCTCTTTCGGAATTGTTTCCGTTATTCGCTTGGAAGGAGAAGTGATGTGAACCCGCTGGGAGGGGTACGCTGCAAAACCCGGCCTGAATCGAACCGCGCGACCCCCCCCTAAATAATCGCGACTCGAGGGGAAGTCTATTAACAGCATGGCTGACTCTATTCAGATGGAGGTCAGCGGTAAGATGGGTTTCCATCAGACCTGTTGCCATCCTGGAGGAGCTTAGGTCTGCTCCGCTCTGTGCTAATGGAGTGGAGCTTGAGGATGAATGGGTTACGGCCCTTAACTTTGCATAAAGATGGGAAAGCTCTTATTTGGCTCTTATTCGTTAATTTTAATTTGGCATATGTGTTATTGTGCATTGGTAACAAGCTTCTTAGCTACAAGCTTTTATGGTTGTGGTTGCCAGATTTTAAGAGTGTAAATACCCCAATCAGTCCCTTTTTCTTGCCCAGTGGTTTACTTGATCTTCCCAACCTGGCAACCATGCGCATGTGCTGTCTCTATGTTATGGAAAAAGTTGGAGTTTAGCAACAGCATTCTGTGGTGGAAAAAGTGGTAGTGTATACTGTATTTATATATATATATATATATATATATATATATATATA